TCGTCGTGTGTGCTATCATGCTACATATCACCTTATAAACAGTTTTAACGTAGTTACTAACATCGGCCGCCTGGCGAAATGGCATCGCGTCTGACTACGATGTAGTGTAATCAGGAGATTGCAGGTTCGACCCCTGCGGTGGTCATTTAGTTTTTTTTGCTCATTCCTAACTCTCCGACCTTCACCGATTGGTCGTCTATCAAGATCATTTTAGATTAAGTTTCCGCGCCCCCGGAAGTTCCTGAAAGGTCTTCTTCTCGTGTCAATGCGACATTGTATGCGCATCTTTTGACTGTTTCAAGCAGTGGTGGTATCGTCATTGACGTGCAGGTTACTAGTACGTCTAATAATCTACTCCAGCTCGTTGAGTTGTTATTGGGAACTGCCACATGCACCGGACCTTCGTCACTCCAACCCATATTCCCGTAAAGGTTTATCGAATGTAAAGACTAGTAAGTGTATTGTCATGCCTACTTGTCTTGAAACTCCATCATTTCATCGAATTATACGCTTACGTACCATGTCGCGAACCGAGTACGCCTCTCAAGCTTACTGTGCTAGTCAAACACGCATACACCTGCCCGGCGGTGAATGTTACTTTTTTGTGAATTGAGTGACGGTATGAGAGTGAGGAGCGATGATGACAGGGACAGTGGACTGATTGTTACGGCTGACGCCAAGTTCATATCCAGGCACAGAACCTGCAGTGTATGACATGTACAGGCACGTTGATCACCCATTGCGGAAGGAGCAGTGACGAAGCACAATGACGGAAGCGCGTGTATCATAGACACCTGCATGGTGAGCACACAGTTTTTGCAACGCGGCATCCTGACTTTCAGCTCACATACTAATTTCCGCGAGGCCTTACTGGAAGAGGCCGCGGAACTTAGTACTTGTGGAGAGGAAGTGGACACCGTTATCCGTGGTTCTAAGCTATTGTGATATGCAAGTTTCTTTGAATTGTCGCACTCGTTCGCAATATTCCTTTAACCAGTGTGCTGGTGCCAGATTGCATCAGCCTATTCAGCTCATATACAGCATGCCTCTTGATTCGCGCACATTGACTCATCTTGATTTTCCTGCAATATCGACAAGCTGCAGCCTCCCCACCACACCGCTGTCAAAAATCGGACTTCAGCATGAGCATATCGGACTTAGTCCAAGTTCGTCCTCTATATCCGAGTCATTTTTATCTAATTATGAACTCGCCTTGCAGGTTAGCGACCCAGGTCTGACCTACATTGTCTTGGGCGGGTTTACCATGATAGTATGTTGCGGTCTCCTTGTTTAAATCGCTTGAAAAAGACCATCGGTCTACGTCGGCGAGACAATGACTAGATTTGAGGGCTTATGCGTTTCTCAGTTTAGCGTCATCTCGCTCCTTGTGAAGGAAATAGTACGTGATTTGCACCCCAAAGCCAAAGTCTAAGTGACATCTCAACACCCATCGATGTCCAGCTTTACATCAACGAAGTCGTTTTGGGAACCGTCTTTGGCATTCTTATTGGTCCGTACTGCGCCAATGTATTCGACCCTAGGTCATGGGGCGGCGACACGGAGAGAATTACGTTGGAAGTGACGCGCATCGTCCTGGCCGTCGGTTTATTTGCTATCGGCGCAGAGCTACCTCGGTCATACATGGCAGATCACGCAAAAGGACTACTCATAATGGTTGTCCCGACGATGGCATTTGGGTGGATTGTTGTTGCAGGTGAATTGTTTGCTACCTTGAGTACTGTAATTTCGCTGAGCTTGTCTGAGTTAGCGTTCATATATGCCTTATTTCCTGGCTATAGCTACATCTCTGCACTAGTTGTAGCAGCGTGCCTTACTCCAACTGATCCCATCATTAGTGCAGCTATTGTTGGTACGTCGCAACGAAGCTTTTATCTTTTCTCAAGAATGCTAACTAGTCCCCGTCAGGCGGTAAATTTGCCCTTGAGCATGTACCTATTGATTTGCGCCACATAATATCAGCAGAGTCTGCTGCTAATGACGGGCTGGCGTATCCTTTTCTGAGTATCTCCATCTACCTTACTACCGAAAGCTCAAGCCGCGTAGCCGTGGGCAAATGGTTTTTGATCGGTTGGCTCTGTAAGTTGCAAACGTCTGAATGGTTTACACGATTATTGAAATAGTCTTAAGACGAAGTGATACTGGGCACACTTCTTGGGGCCATATTAGGTAATTCATTAAGCAGGGACCATTCCAAGTTTTTGCTGACATCAGTGTCTAGGATGGATGTGCCGTCACCTCATGAGATTTTCTTATCGCAAGGGCATCGCTGACCGGAAGTCCTATATCGCGCAGTATCTTGCGCTCACCTTTTTCACAATTGGTGTCTGTTACACAATCGGGAGTGATGACCTGTTAGCAGCATTTGCCGCAGGTAAGAGTGCACTTGAACTATCTTCTGCCTGAGTGACTCGCCAGAAATCTGAATTCCGTTTCTCAGGTACCGCAATCAATTGGGACGGATACTTCATCGCCCAAACTGAGGGTGAAGCGTTCTCGTCTGTTGTTGATTTGCTACTCAACTGCGCCTGCTTCATATATATCGGAGCTTGGTTACCGTTTGACCAATTCAATCAACCTGACTTGGGAATCACCCCGTGGCGTCTGATCATCTTGTTCCTAGTCATTTTGGCTCTCCGCCGAATTCCCTCTCTGTTGTTGCTGTATAGATGGGTCCCCGAAATTTCAAACTGGCGTGAAGCGTTGTTCTCTGGTCATTTTGGTAGGTGATTCCTATTCAGAATCTGTTATTAGTATACTATGCCGAGACATTGAACCTGCACTGTACCTAGGGCCGGTAAGCAAATTGATAGCTGTCGTCCAGATGACTACTCACTGCGGCACATAGATGGGTGTCGGCGCTGTATTTATTTCCACGCTTGCCCTCACCAGACTACCTGAACCTCAGTTTCCGCCCCAAACCGAAGCAGAACTCCTCGCAGCAACTTTGCAGACAATTGTATCATTTGTGGTCTTAGGATCGATTATAATTCGTACGCGTTTCACACTCGTCTTCTGAAATTCCTTCAACGATATGATAGACGGTCTTTCCATACATTTCTTCTCCCTTGGGAAGAATGTCCGATCACGCACCTTGACTATGTCTAGGACCTTGACGTTAGGTGGCTCAGGCCCCGAGTGGTTATCTGGAGTGCACCGCTTTACTAGGACATCGGCCGGAATCCAGAGATCGAGCACGCCGTCTCTCACCGTTGCCGAACAGGGCTCAGTCGAAGATGAAGCAAAGGAGACCGCTAAACCCCATATCCCACACAGTGTCAGCACCCATTCATTTATGTCTGACCTTACCCGCAAGAACGAAGATTGCCTCCGAGATGGGGTGCCATCGGACTACAATGGCAAGGTAAATGCATGGCCCAGCGATTACTACTGTCATTTCTGAAATACTCATTTAATAGATCCGACCCAGCGGTCCTGGTGAATTGCGAAATCACTCACCGTATCGTGTTAGCGAATAGGAACGATATGACAAGCCTAGGCTCGAGCTTCAGAGCTTGTGCACTTCGCTCGAAATGATGAGCTTGCAGTTGTTTCTCTTGCAAAGCAAGCTGAAATCGCTACCAGGTTTACATTAGGACTCGAAAGTGGAGCTCAAGGGTCTCCGAGTGACTTGGGATCCCCACTCCAGAGGGCAAGGCTATTAACCATAGTCATACCCACCAAATAACGCTTGTCTTGTCTTTACTTCCCTGACATCTCTGACTATGGCGGCGCTCTTCAGGGGTTATGTAGTCTCCTTTCTCATACACCTAGATATCTTGGATTATCTTTTGTATTAGACTAGTCGGGCTTCCGTGACTCGACTGGCTGTGAATTACACATCCACTACCCCGGGGAAGTTGATAATCTAGTAGTCTACATTTTTTCTTACATTCACGCCTTGGTCTGAAAAATACCATCACAATATATCATCACGGTAAATCAGTCATACTGCCTGGATGATAAAATTGCAAGAGAAGAACCTTAGCTGTCTCCCTTCTGTGCAGCATGGACTGGATTCAACGTCAAAGGACGTTCGCAACATCCTGACCAAAGGTAGCAGCTACTAGCAACGGGAAAACTAGGGTCGCGTCCGCGAACACCTGCGGTGGTGTCGCCGATATGAGCCAAAGACATGATGATACGAGCCATTCGCACCTTGACCGCCTCAGCGCCGGCTCGTATTTTCCCCCAGGAAACAGCCTCATCAGGCCTTGCGCCAGAATCGGAGCCATCGAATTCTTGACCGGTGTTCTGACCAATGTCGATCAGTGTCAATTGTTGCTCGCTACTGTATACTTACAATGTAAACCGAGAAATCAGCACCGTTGCGCTTGATACGAATGAATGTGAGCATAATGATACATCTGCTCAGTGAAGTACATACGATCAGCATCGCATTGGCTATCTGATGTTTGCAGACTCCTCCGCCCAAAATGATCATCCCAGCCTTCTTGGACTGTCGGGCGAGCTCATTCAGGGCGCGAATGTCTTGGACTATGTCAATTATAAGACCAGGAGAGCGGAAGGAATGGAAGTATATCATGTCCCCAAGTGATCCATCGGTAAGTGCGGGACAGAATACTGGAATGTTGTTCTGCACGTAACGGCTCAGCACTTCTGAGGCAGAAAATAGAATGGCCAGTGACGTCGTATATTCACTTTGTATGCCCAGTAATACACAGATTCCTCGTTGTTAATCTCCTTTCCTAATCGCCTGATAAATGAGCTCGGCGACCAGACGTCCCCGGTCTGCTTCTGCTCGGCAAGCATCGTGTCGAGGATAGGCGTCAGCCAATCCTCGAACTTGCAATAATTATCGTTCGGAACAATGAGATTTCCGATACGATTCATACCCCTACGTCGCAAATCAGCGCCGTCCAGGTTGAAGTCTGCTAGATAGGTTTTCCCGAGGCATTTGATGAAGTCTTCCTCTATACCTCCGGCGGTAGTTACGATTGCACGGATGTGTTTGTGTTTGACAAGGTGCAGTATAACTTCACGGAGCCCCGAAGAAATCAAGTTGGAGGTGTAGCCCAAGAAGATGTCGCAGCGAGTTTGGGTTCTGACTTCGGGAGATGTATATTCTTCGGACTCGTCTTCTGCGACTGGTTCGTCCGAGAGACGCCATTGCCGCTAGACGTCATAATCTGTTGGAGACCGGAAAGATTGATCAAGTATATCGAACACACCATTTTGTTCACGATTTCTATCGCTTTGGCAAGACTGCTCGCCTGGAACCCGATGCGCTTGTAGCTCTGCAATAGATGCTGCAAGGAGATGGGCTGATCGAAGTTAGGGCCCTCCACAGAGACGGCGACATCCTCTGGAATGGGCTCGGATGGTTTAAGAACCGCCGCAGATGCGCCGGCTGGAATGTTGGAGGACATGGTGAACAGAGGAAAAGCAGGGCGAGATGGACCGGAAACGCCGGAGCCGTGTCGGCGCGTCTCGTGGTTTGATCACTGCGCTCTCACTGCTTTCTCTCGTTGCTTTGCCCGGACACGACTGCCTCCAACTTTCTGCCCCATCCCGTCGGTCGACGCTGACCATGGACGTCGATGCAGCCGACGTGGCAGTCGCAACACCACTCCCGCTTTCCCCCCCTCCCGACCAGTATCACTATCCCAACATTCCGACCTACCCTCCCGACTTGCAGGATCCAGTCGACGAGATTCACGACCAGTTTTCGAATGTAGAGCTTGCCGAATACAAAGGCCTGCGCGAACAGGATCGAGTTGACGGTGACTTGCCGCCACGGTCGTCTGGCGAGACCCTACCCGAGCAAGATACGCTCGCGGCCTCTACGTCACGGACTCCCGAACGACTCCCGCCGCTGCCTGTCCCCAAGTCGGATACGAGAGGCAACGAGATGGAGGAGGCCCAGAGGGAAAGCGGTACTGTTGATCATCCTCAGCATAATCCGTCTGCGCCTCCTGCTAACCCCCCAGAACTTGTGCTCCCTCCACCGCGCAGAGAGAGTCTTCCAGCACCCCCAACCCGCAGTGGGACGCCTGGGCTCGACGGTCCACATCCAGGCGACAGGCATCCTAATGGACGCATTCCAGCTCGTGATCGTGCTGCCAGTCCTCCTTCAAGACCTGGGTCGGCCGCTTCTCATCGACGTTCCCTGACAATTTCGAAAGGGCGCACTGTTTCCGTCGTCCTCATTTCGTCCGCTCTCGAAACCATCGCTGCTTCCAAAGATGCAAAACGCTCGGCACCTTTACGCGAGAGCGTCAAGCGCGCTCTGGAGATGGTCAAGTCAGGCCAAGGGGGAGACCGTCCGCGTGAGATCTTCGAACCTTTGCGCTTGGCCTGTGAGACGCGGAATGAGAAGCTCATGATCGCCAGTTTGGATTGCATATCCAAGCTAATATCTTACTCTTTCTTCGTTGAAGCTGGTTCAGAAACAAATTCATTACCCTCTCCGCCCCCTTCACCGGCGCTCACAGCCCGAAACTCCTTGTCTAATGGGTCGCATACCAGTCTTCCAACTGTGTCACTCGTCGATGTCGTCGTCCACACCATCACGTCTTGTCATGCAGAAACTACCCCGGAATCAGTTTCTCTTCAGATTGTGAAAGCGCTGCTCGCTCTAGTTTTATCGCCCACAATCCTGGTGCATCAGTCCTCGTTGTTGAAGGCCGTTCGGACCGTGTACAATATATTCCTTCTCAGTACGGATCCGGTCAACCAAACAGTAGCTCAAGGGGGCCTGACTCAGATGGTGAATCATGTTTTCACACGTTGTAACTTGGACTACCCTCCGATATCTCGCAGCGAATCGAGCATGACGCTGAACTCTGTGGACGACCATGCTTCTTCATACGCTTCCCGTAATCAACAGTACCCTACTGCTCCCTCTCCACGACATCCAACGACCGTGCTCCCCCGAGATTTCCAGCCCAATGGTAGGGCATCATCTCTGGCGGACACGGAAGATTCTGCATCAACTTTGGTGAATGGAAAGGCTCCCGGATCTCGTAGGTCGTACGACGATGCGCCCAGCATGTCTGAGCGTGCAGACTCAATGGATGAGCGATCGGATCGTCGTCCGAGCGTTAGTGTTTCTGAATTCTCGCATCAAGCTCCGTACGTGTATCATTACGCACCATTATCACATAAATTTTCTAATGTCTTGTTGCTCTACGTAGTGAGCCTTCTGAAACCGCTGCCAGCGAAACCCTTCATGAGGAAGAAATCAATCATTTGGGTAGACATCTCACCGCGAACGACTTGTTCATTAAGGACGCGTTCCTTGTATTCAGAGCCCTTTGCAAATTAACTATGAAACCATTGAACCCAGAAAGGTGCGGTCAGTTCTTCTGTCTGACATGACCAATTCTTAAGTGACGTATTAGCGAACGGGACTTGAAATCGCATGCAATGCGATCCAAGTTACTATCACTCCACCTTGTCTTGACCATTCTTAACACTCACATGCCTATATTCATCTCCCCATCCGCCATCATTTATTCTAGCTCGTCCCACGAGGCTACGTCGTTTGTTCAGGCCGTCAATCAATACTTATGCTTATGTTTGAGCCGTAATGCTGTCAGTCCCGTTCCTCAGGTCTTCGAAATCAGTGTCGAGATCTTTTGGAGGGTGATCTCAGGTCTCCGTACAAAACTGAAGGTTCGTTATAATTGCCAGTTGCATCATTCGTTGTCCCCTCATCACTTGCATTATAGAAAGAGGTAGAAGTATTGCTGCATGAGATTTTCATTCCTATTTTGGAGATGAAGACATCTTCTCTTAAGCAGAAGGTTGTCATTCTCAATATGTTGCAGCGACTATGCCAGGACCCTCAAGTTTTGGTTGAGATTTACCTCAATTACGACTGTGACAGTGAAGCCGTTGACAACATTTACGAGCAGTGAGTCTACAGTGATCTTTTGCGACTATTGCTATAAATGTGCTCGTGCAGCCTAATGAACATCATCTCCAAAATCGGCACTACAACGGTGACCCATATCTCACAGAGGGGGAATGATCCCATCAGTCCAGGCCCTAATTCTAGTCATCGTGCTCCTCACCACACTTCGGTTCCCCCTTCACTTAGTACGACAGCGTTGGGGGGGCCTAATGCTAGTGAAAGTCCCTCTTCCGTCTCATCTGAGCAACAGCTTAGACGACAGGGATTGGAATGTTTGGTAGCAGTCCTAAAATCACTTGTCGCATGGGGAACTGCAAATACTTCGGTGGATAGTGGTCCGGACACCAGTACTCGGTCTCAGATTGGCGAAGACATACGTCGAGAGAATGCCACGCCTGAGTCGTCTATCGAAAAGACATTCCCTCCCTTCCCCCCCTTATCTGCAGATCCAACCAGGCAGCCTACTCCAGATGTTGCGGATGACCCGACCAAATTCGAGAGTGCTAAGCAAAAGAAGACCACTTTGCTTGAAGGTATCAAGAAGTTCAATTTCAAGCCGAAGCGGGTACGTGATGTATATTGCTCTGAGTCGTGGCACATATTGAGCGTCTTTCCAGGGAATCCAGTTCTTCTTGGAGACTGGTTTTATACCAAGCAACTCTCCTAAGGATATTGCTAGGTTCTTGTTAGATACTGACGGTCTTAGCAAAGCGATGATTGGCGAATATCTTGGCGAAGGGTCGGTTATGAAATATCGTTGTACTATATACTTGCTCACACAAAGAGTTACAGCGACGAGGAGAACATCACCACTATGCACGCATTCGTCGACATGATGGAATTCAGGAATTTGGCTTTCGTTGATGCACTGCGAACCTTTTTGCAAGCGTTCCGTCTGCCGGGCGAGGCTCAGAAGATTGATCGGTTCATGCTGAAATTTGCGGAACGCTACATCGCCGGCAATTCGCAAACTCCATTCGCTAATGCTGGTGCGTGATGTTGAATCCTTCCTCCATACTGGCTTACTGAATGTGCGCCCAGATACCGCATATGTCTTAGCCTACTCGATCATTCTCCTCAATACGGATGCACATAATCCACAAGTGAAACGCCGCATGTCCTTGCAGGACTTCATCAAGAACAATCGCGGAATCAACGATAACGCCGATCTCCCAGAAGAACTATTGACTTCAATATACGATGAGATCTTATCCAACGAGATACGTATGAAAGATGAGATCGAAAATGCGCCTACTATTGTAGCTCCAGGCGCGGGTCTCGCTGGCGCATTGGCCAACGTCGGTAGGGATCTTCAAAAGGAAGCTTATGTGATGCAGTCCAACAACATGACAAACAAGACGGAGGTGAGTTACAGAAAGTTCAGATGATTCTCCATGGTGATCTGTTATGCATTATAGGCCTTATTCAAGACACTAATGCGCTCTCAACGGAAAGGCTCAAAGTCTAATGATCAGTTCTTCAGTGCTTCTCATTTCGTCCATGTAAAGCCTATGTTCGAAGTTGCTTGGATCCCTTTCCTCGCTGGTCTGTCTGCGCCCCTCCAAGACATGGATGATCTCGAAATTGTCGAACTGTGTTTGGACGGCTTCAAAAACGCCATCCGAATCGTTTGCTTTTTTGACATGGAATTGGAGAGAAACGCGTTTGTGACGACACTCGCCAAATTCACGTTCTTGAACAATCTTGGTGAGATGAAGACAAAGAACATGGAGGCCATCAAGGCGCTGCTCGATGTCGCCGTAACTGAGGGGAACCACCTTAGAGGGTCTTGGCGAGAGGTTCTCACCTGTGTAAGTCAACTGGAGCACATGCAGCTTATTAGTAGTGGCGTAGAGCTTCCAGACACAGGGCGAAAAAGGTGCGTTAGAAAACTGAGTTCGTTGACGTCTCATTCTGGGTAGCTGAAGAGGCTTGTCGTCATAGTCGCGTTCGCAAGCCACCCACCGAAGAATTGGCAAACGAGAGCCGATCGACACATATCACCGTTGCTGCTGACATGGTGTTTTCTCTTAGCCATTACTTGTCAGGAGTATGTGCAATTTCTCTCGTGCGCTACATGTGCTTATTCGACATTATAGAATGCTATCGTGGACTTCGTACGAGCGTTGTGCGACGTCTCTTGGGAGGAGATCCAATCATCAGGTCTCTCACAGCATCCCCGACTCTTTAGCTTGCAGAAGCTCGTCGAGATCTCTTATTACAACATGAGTCGTATACGTTTGGAGTGGTCGAATCTCTGGGACATCCTTGGTGAACACTTCAATCAGGTATATGTTCAAGAACAATCATGATAGTTCCGTCTAACACCTTGTAGGTTTGTTGTCACAATAACCCTCATGTCGGTTTCTTCGCATTAGATGCTCTGCGTCAGCTGGCGATGCGATTCCTCGAGAAGGAAGAGTTACCGCACTTCAAGTTCCAAAAGGACTTTTTGCGACCCTTCGAATATACCATGGCTCACAATTCGAATCCTGATATACGTGATATGGTACCACATCTCTTCTTATTGTTTCTACGGTTGTGCTGAACCATGAGTAGGTTTTGCAATGTCTACAGCAGATGATTCAAGCACGCGTCGGTAATATGCGATCCGGTTGGAGAACAATGTTTGGCGTTTTCTCAGCAGCATCGAAAGCAACAACGGGTAGGTGTCGCTAAGTTAACTCTGAGCAGTATTTGACATATGTTTCATGAAGAGCGAATTGTGAATTCGGCGTTTGAGCTCGTGACGCGTCTCAACAAGGAGCACTTTACTGCGATAGTCCGGCAAGGCGCATTTGCAGATTTGACTGTTTGTATCACAGATTTCTGCAAAGTAAACAAGTATCAGAAAATTAGCTTACTGGCGATAGCGATGTTGCGCGGCATTATCCCTATCATGCTTAATTCGCCAGACTGTGGGCTCACTACGACCACCGATCAAAACGTGGATGACCCTATGATCAAGTTCTGGTTTCCTGTTCTTTTCGGTTTCTACGACGTCATCATGAATGGAGAAGACTTAGAAGTACGCCGGCTGTGAGTAATTATCTAGCTTTCATACTTGCTTTTTGGTTAACATGGCTCGTAGGGCGCTGGACTCTCTGTTCACAACCCTGAAGACATACGGCAAAACTTTCCCCGTCGATTTCTGGGATACTGTCTGCCAAGAGCTACTATTCCCGATTTTTGCCGTGTTGAAGTCAAGTCAAGATTTGTCACGATTCAGCACTCAAGAAGATATGAGTGTATGGCTTTCTACCACCATGATACAAGCATTGCGCAATTTGATCGATCTGTATACTTTCTACTTCGACACATTGGAGCGTTTTCTGGACGGTTTGCTTGACCTCTTGTGCGTTTGCATTTGTCAGGGTAAGTTATGGTGTATGAGTGTTGATTATCCGGGTTGTTGACTTGCATCACAGAGAATGATACCCTCGCACGTATCGGGACCAGCTGTCTACAACAACTGTTGGAGAACAACGTAAAGAAACTGAGTTCTGCGCGGTGGGAACGTGTCGCCACTACCTTTGTCAAGCTGTTCCGGACGACAACGCCACATCAGCTGTTCGATGAGAGCTTGCGGGTGGAGATTGACGGGAACTCTGACATTCCTGATTCAGCAGGTAAGGATTCACATTCAACTGGAAATCTCACTGGGCTCATCTACGGATATTCTAGAGTCTAACGGTCAGGCAATTGTTCCCGCACCACTATCGCCGAATGGGGAACAGCCCCAGGCAGACACCAAGGTGTCTCTCAACGATCGACGACGAATTTTCAGACAAATAATTGTCAAATGTGTTCTCCAGCTCTTGCTCATTGAGACGACGAATGACCTCCTGCGCAACGACGAGGTCTATAATACCATACCTCCGGAGCATCTCTTACGCTTGATGGGTGTTCTCGATCACAGCTATCAGTTCGCAAGGATGTTCAACGATGACAAGGAGCTCCGGACAGGTCTATGGAAAGTTGGTAAGTAGAATTGACTCGAGTATCCTGATGTGTTCCCATTGTAAATTCCTTCCAATGTAGGGTTCATGAAGCACTTGCCGAATCTTCTCAAACAGGAATCAAGCAGTGCCTCTACTCTAGTGCATGTTCTTTTGCGCATGTACTATGACTCTCGTCCCGAACACCAAGCAGCTAGGCCCCAAGTAGCAGACCGGTTGATGCCGTAAGTCGTTGTGTATGCGCTGATAGGATATTGCTCACATCAGATCAGTCTGGGATTGGGCGTATTGGGAGACTTCAACAAACTGCGGCTGGATACGCAAGCAAAAAATATCGCAGCATGGACACCGGTTGTTGCCGAGATTCTGCAAGGCTTCGTTCGATTTGATGACAAAGCTGTGAGTGATGTTGGCTATCCTCTTTGCAATTTTTAACATGAGAAATAGTTCGGAAGATACATGCCGGCAGTATACCCCCTGGCAACTAACTTACTATCTCGCGAGATGTCACCAGATGTGCGAGAAGGATTGCGAGAATACTTCATGCGAGTGGGGTATATACAGGGCATTATGGATCGGACATAGCATACATTCACTTTGTAGCATCTACTTATTATTTTGCACGTTTTGTATAATCGTTCCGTCTTCGGTATATTAACGCATCTACGCTAGCATGTCGACATTGTGCGATGAGAAATCGTATTTAGTACAAGCAAAAGAGCGATTAATCAGTGTTGGTAACCATATCCCCCCGTGAATGCTCCGCCATTCACATTCATCCCTTGGTAACCCCATCCAGTGGGTTGCGCTGTCAGTGGAGATGCTGTAAGGTAAATTATAAGTGCAAGTTAAGACGACAATCTCCAGAAGACTCACGTGCAGGACGGAGCGCGTCGTATTTATCTATACGCCCTTTCAGATGAATCGCCTTGTCAAATAAACAAATAAAATCTTAACATACCCGCACTCTGTGGCACCGAGGTATTGTCGCTTGCGAACGTCCCACTTTTCATTTGCGCGAAGATATTCGCGGGAGATGTGTTCATTGCAGGCTGGGAGGGAGGAGCCGGAGGAGACGAGGCACCATTGCCGAAAGGCGATTGACCGAAGCCAGAAGCATATCCTGTGGGGTCTGCAAGAAATGAGAAGGAAATTCAAAGTATAGAGATGAATAAACGTACTGCTTTGGATGCCGAACCCTCCGCCGTTCTGGAAGGACGGGGTCGGGGTAAATCCACCATTCATTTGACCCATTTGGCCTCCATAGTTGTTGGCAGGCATGCCTGTTGGTTGTGATACCATGGGGCCAGCAGAAAAATTGCCCCCGTTGAAACCTGTGGGCTGTGCCATAATGGGACTCGGGACCGGTCCAGGAAATCCGGTGGCTTGTGGTAAGAGTGACTGATTAGAACCAGGGAAACCGGTTGGCTGAGTTGAAAGGAATGAGGGTTGCGGTGCTTGTGATTGGAAAGATGATTGCACACTCTGGGGCCGAGTAGGGACGAAATTATTAAACCCGGTCGTGGTGGGTATCAGAGGCTGAAGTAATGACTGATTTGCTGGGACAGGAGCCAGTGGTCCTCTGGGACCATTGACAGGCTGGGGTGGCTGCGGCGGCGGTAGCAGTCCAGTCTGTTGGTGCTGCATGTGCTGACCTATAGGAACAGGAGACGAACCCATACCGAGGCCAGATTGATAGCTCAAGGGGGAAGAAATTGGGACAGAGGGTGCACGCTGGGGAACTTGAAGAGCGGGACTCTGGGTGCGTAGTTGACTCAATCGCGCTAGTTGGTCGAAGATGTCGTCGTTAGTCTTCGCGAGCGTCGATCCCGTCATCTGCGGCTGCGCGGGCGCTGGATGCGCAGAAGGCGGGGCAGTAACGATAGTGGGGACTACAGCCGATGCCTGAGCTACTGGTGGGGGTGGGGG